GTTAGTGGGATTATAACAAAGTGGAAGCAACTGGGAACAACAGCAACTCAGCCACCAAGTGGTAGGCCACATAAAATGATAGAGAAGGGTCAGCTCATGCTGAAGCGCACAGTGCACACAAGTGTCCGACTGTCTACAAAGTCAATAGCTAAAGACCTCACAGTACAGTGCCCCTACACAGTTCAGTGCCTCACTGTATTGTAGGGCAAACAGCCCGCCAAACACCCTTACCGTTCGATGAACACACGAGTGGACGATGTTCGCGTCGAACATCAAACCCATCCCTATTTAACATATAGGGGAGTGTGTGTGGAAGAAGTGTTTAAAAATAATCTGCGGATCTATGCCACTGACAACACATGCCTTAGAATTCAGATCCAATGATACAGTGTATGGAGGACAGTAGGGCCCTCTATATTTCTGGCACATCAGATATTAATTTTCCATATTTGAAGGGTGTTTGAAGAAATAAAACTTGGGGATATGTGTGTGTTTTTTGCCTGGACATAAATGTTAAGAAGAAAAGATTACCTTCTGCATGACTCCTCATGGTTCCTAGCCAGACCAACAGTAGCTCTTGTTCAGCTGTTAGAGGGGCCTATTGTCTTCCATACTTCCCTCCTACCCACTACCTTGTTGTATTTCACGGTCCTTAATGAATGTTGAGTTTACATTTGTGAATGCTTAATAGAGGTGACCAACTGCCATATCTACGAGGGACGTTCAAGTCAAACCAAGATTTTTGAGTTTATATAATAAAATAATACATTTCAAGGAGTGGAAACTGCATTTATTTTTTTTTACATACACCCCCTGCTACATATATGCACTTATCCCAGAGTTTAACGAATACCTGGAAAGGCATAGAAAGATTTGTCGGCACGTCTGAACCATCACAGGACAGCTGGCTTTACTTCCTCATCATTGTGTTCACCAGAGAAATTTGTTTATTGTGCAATTTCATGACAGGTTATGCAATGATTATCCAAGTTTAGGCATTCCACGCATTGCATGTTCACAGGTATGACTGCTGTGGGCTAGAAACCACCACCGGCCGCCATCTTTGAAATGTTTACACCATTCAAAGGTCTGACTGTGGCTGAGTGTCTCATCACCGTACTGTGCTTGAATTCTTCTGTAGCTATCCATGGGTTTTACGCCTTCATTCACAAGAAACTTCACCACCACACGCTGTTCTATGCACTCACTGACCCTGTGGTCTGCCATCTTTTAATTAATGGTCTCTGGACTGGCCCACGACATGTACGCCCCCTATCAGTAATAGGACACACTTGTCACTTACTACTGTGTGTGTGTACCACCACGCTAGCATCCGGTTTTATACCTGTAAAAGGAAAAGTCACGGTTTTACTTGAACGCCCCATGTATCATGTTTATTTGTATCTACGCATCTTAGATGTTCAAATCTTTTTTTTTTTTTTTAATTACATTTTTATTGTACATTTTCTGATGCCAAAATACTGAATTTTTATTTTGTACCATCAGAAAATGTTTAATAAAACCTTTTGTTTAAAAGAAAAGAGTTGTGTACATCTCTGGAGGGATCTCCTGGGATTATCAGATCCTACACACGTTTTGAACATGAGCACCAAAAGGATGTTATAATACTTATTACTGGTAGACATCGGAAGCTGATCACTACTTATACAGAGGAAATAATTAGAGGGTAAATATGTAATTACCAGCACACAGGGGTATTTTTACTTCCCTTCCCTTGTACAGTATTTAATAGAAGAGCAGCCACAGGACAAATGGGACCATACAGCTGTTAATTTGGTTTCCCAGAATTCTGACCTCTTCACATTCTGTCACAAATCTTGGGGTCACCGAGGAATCAGATCCTGTAATTATCACACACACAATTCCTGTAATCACACAATCTCTCAGTAGAAGACACAGAACCAGTAATTATATCAGTTCTGTGTCCGCAGAGTGCTGGCTCCTCACCTGCTCCTCACCACCAGCTCCTCACCTGCTCCTCACTACCGGCTCTCCCCATCCCTATAAATATCAGTGCATTCACCTCTATTTATAGAAGTGAGGGGAGGCAACCTGGAGTACAATGTATCGTTTATGTATCATGTTATACTAATTTATCATAATATGTCTTTTTTTTTGGACCTAAATTCTAAAAGCTCAATGGAATCTTCAGATTGAAGGGATACATCCAGATAATTCATGCAAAGGATTCTGGGAGTTGCCTGCATGTTGTATAATCATTTTTTTTAAAAGGCGATATAACAAGTGTACCATATCATGTATATGATGTTTGGAATGGAAGCCCTTTAGTTGCACTTTACATTACTACCCTGTACCTACCTTCCAGAAAGCACCCAGGTGATAGAGTTCTACGCTAATGGTAAGTGCCCAATTTTATTGCTTAAAGTTAAAGCTGAAGTCCAATCAAAAGCCTTCAAAGCTTAAACCTGCTCCCACCCCCATTCTAGGTCCTAAGTCTAAATGAATAGCAAAGTAAGCTGAATTCAGCACAACTCTGGTAAGATCTCCAGCCTTGAAGCCTATGGACAGTGTATCACTTGGACTGGAGTCCTTTTTTAACCTCCTTAGCGGTATTCCCGAGTGTAGCTCGGGGTAAAATTTCAGTACCAAGAGCAGTAACCCCGAGCTACACTCAGGCTTACCATGTGGCGTTGCTCATGGAGTCCCTGCAGCACTTACCTTGTCCTTCGCTCCCACGATGCGTCCCCTCCAGTGTCCCCGGCCATCTCCTCCGGCCGATGCCGGCATCCGGCTTCCGTGTTCCGATCCCTGTGATGTCGGGACGTACGGGCGCCGGAACCGGCGGCAAATTTGAACTTTTTAAAAAATGTCATTTTTTTTAAAATGATTATTACATAGTAAAACATTGCTGTTTCAACCCATTTCACATACATTTTGTCCCTACTGCTTTGTCCTGTGCCCTGCCTGCATTTTGACTGTTCTTTCTGCCTGGAAACTTAGAAAAGTCCATGGCGTCCAAAAAGCGTCCCTTTATGTCAAGGCGGTTTTAGACCAGCTAGAGAACAGCGATAGTAAATCAGGACCACTTGCAGAATTGAGTGATAATGATTCGTGGGGGAAATTCGTCATCAGACACTGAAAACGATTCATGCTCAGCGATGTGCGAATTTGCCTCTGTATTTCAAATTTCAGTGTTTTTGGTTTGATTATATTATTGAATTCAATTTATTATTATTATATTATTATTTTTTATGATTATTTATTAAATCATAATTTATGATTTTGTGTTTCAAATTTTATCCTACCCGGGATGTTTACTAGACTCTTGTTCAGACAGATTTCAGTGAGTTATTCCTAAAAATTACAGCCTACAATAAAAAACTACATATTTCCATGCAAAGAAATGGTACCGCTTTCAGCACAAAAAATCGGAAATAATCATACCGCTAGGGAGGTTAAAGTCAAGTAAACTAAAGTCTAACTAAACTTAAACCTTCTCACACCCCCATTCTAAGCCCTATGCTACCTACCCTGTAATAGAAAGATGTGTATATTTACCTAATTGAAGGACGCTCTGATCCTCCCCAGCGGCCAGCTTTTGAGGAGAGGAGAAAACAGCAACAACGGCTGCAGAGACTGGGTGGTGATGTCACCCATAGACTTACTATGGGGTATCCGTTGCCCTTTTTCCCTCCTTTCCCTTAAAACTAGCTGCTGGGACCCGATCAAGTGACCGGACCAGAGCACACTTAGATTAGGTAAGTAGACATATCTTTCCTTTACAGGGTAGTTAGCAAAGGGCTTAAAATGAAGGTGGAAGCAAGTTTAAGCTTAGTTAGCCTTTGACTTGACTTCCACTTTAAACAATGACTACTTTCCAAGTGATACCCTGCCTATCGGCTTCAAGGAAGGAGATGGCACCAGAGTTGTGTTGAATTCAGCTTACTTTTCTGTTAATTTAGATGCTAGCTTAATCACTGAAATTGAATACAAGAATTTTAAAAATGGTTTTCAATCTTTTTAAATCATTGGTGACCCTGCCATGAAATTCCTTGTTCAGGTACTTCTTGTTATAGGGTGACAACACTTTGTCCCTGTCTCCTGCATTTTCGCCCTTTCATATGCTCCGCGAAAGGAGACCACATAGGGCTTTGCTGACACACATTCCTCAGGCATGGTCCAAGGTTGTCACCATCAGTAAGCAAGGATAGGCAGCCGTTAATTTTTTGTTGATCATTGTGCCATTTAGTAATGTTTTAACCTCTTGCAGGTGATTGCTATCATTAAGCTATGGTTTGTTTGGTGGCATTGACTATAAATCCAGTCATTTTTGCATGGCTAGATTGGCTTGGCTCATTAAATAGGACTTCGATAGGGTCTTTGCATAGGCTACAACTTAGGGGAGTAAAATGCATAGCTCTGAAGAAGGAGGTACTCCTCCAAAACTTGTCAGCTTGCCAGTCCAGCTGGGTTGCATGGACACGCAATTCCCCTTGCTGTGGCATCTTGTGGTTTTTATGCGAGTTTATTTCGACTTCTGTGAATATCCATTTGGCATGTATATTTTGTGAACAACAAATCATTGGTAATTCACTAGGCATTTGCGCCCTTCTGCTTGTTCTTTTTGTAGTTTCACAAGACGTCTCCAGTTGAGGAGGACCAGCATCAAGTACACGTGAAGTTCATGATCTATTGTATATCATACATCATTTGTGGTCATATTCCTCTTCGGTAGACCTCTGAGCGCTGAAATGTACAGTTTTTCATGTGTGTACACATTGTTTGGGCTATAGTTTGTTTGGTGGCATTGACTATAAATCCAATCATTTTTGTTTATGGCTGCATTGGCTTGGCTCATTTAAGAAGACCTCAATAGGGTCTTTGCGTGGGTTACAATTCAAGTAAGTAAACCCTAATTTAGAAAAAGAGAGGAAGGCGCCTCTAAGTGCAGTATTAACAATTTATTAGTAGACAATGGAAAATTTGCACTTACAAGATAAACGGTCAAAAAGACTCATCGTGTGGTAATTGGATTCAGGTGGGACATCCAGCCGTCCAGCAGCAAGCTATGCCTATAGGATCAGGAAGTAGAGTCCAGGATGTGCCTGTGCATCAAAAATGAAGCCCCCTCAGGGGGTCTGAAGAAGGAGCCTATTGAGCATGCTCCAAAATGCATTACCGCCCCTTTCACCTGCTACATCTGACTCTGCTCTCCAAGCTTCATTTTTGATGCACAGGCACATCCTGGACTCTACTTCCTGATCCTATAGGCACAGCTTTCTGCTGCTGTGCGGCTGGATGTCCCACCTGGATCCAATTACCACACGATAAGTCTTTTTTTAACTGTTTATCTTATAAGTGCAAATTTTCCATTGTCTACTAATAAATTGTTAATACTTAGAGGCACCTTCCTCTTTTTCTTGTTACTGCATTAGAGCCTTGCTTCCACTCTAAGAAGAGCTGCCTCAGTGTTACTGCTTCCATCCATCCATCCCTGATATCCATCTGGCACCTTTATCTTACAGCTACAGAGGTTGGGCTCCAACAAGCGCGTCCTTTATAATATACACAAACCCTAATTTAGAGCCTTCAGGCTTTGAGACATGACCACCACAAATGTAGCATTGTTTCCCCTAGGCCACAGCCTCAAAAGAGGTGAATATCTTGAGACATGCTTGAAAGTACAAGCAGGAGTTAGGTACCAGCTAAACAGATTTGGGTATTGAAAGAGCTATTGGCTATGGAAGACCAGATTTCCATCTATGGTTGTGTTTACTTACTTTTCCCAAGGTAATATATTGGGATTCTCTTTTAATTAAATTTATTAAACTTGCAATGTCTAAGTGTAAAGAAATTTTGCAAAGTTAACAGACTGGTGAAAAAATGGCAATAAAAAGATATCTTATATAATAATAATAATAATAATAGTACATGCAGGTAGTATGGGGCCTGGAATTGAAGGGGGCCCATTAGGAAATCTGTTAGGAAAACTAAACAATTTTTTTTATTGCCACTGAATACCAAGCTTGAGCCATTTTCTACACCCACTGGCAACAGTCCAGCATATCTAAAGTCTCAATGCCAGCAAACTGGTTCTTAGTTTAGAGGTTTCGTAGACTCCTAACTTAATAACTGTTTTTTTTTCTTCTAAAGCAGCTTGTACTGTGCCTACCTGATAAGACCAAATAATTGCAACCTCTGACTTCTTCATCCTCCAGGTGAACAAGCTGACTTCCCTATGGCATCCGACCATATGTTACTTTAGATCACGTCTGAGTGAACCTCATGAGTAGACTCCTGCAGGTCCTCCTCCTCCTCCTCTCATGGCTGGATGAGGGTCAGTCTGATCCTGGCTGTTTTCTCCAAGGTTGGCCAATGGATACCTTCTCACAATCTGGTGATATTCTGATTGGTGGAGTCTTTGTGGTTCACTCTGGATTTGTCTTCCAACCACCAACCTTCCAGGAGGTGCCGAAGCCAGTCTCTTGTACGGGGTAAGTTCTCGAGGCAACTGTCTGACACGATGATGAGTTTCTTCTCTACTCATGATAATTTAAGGTAAAAGGACAACTTTTTGTTAGGTTTCTCCAAAGCTACTCCAGTACTTTTAATGAAGTAATGATGACCCACCAAAATGTATTTTGAAGATCCACAAAAGTGGATTCATGGACACAATCGCATGTCAAAATCTGACATGTGGACAGATGCAGGTACACAGGTCCAAATTCAGACACTGTTATCAAATGATTACTCCAACATTAAATTTTCTTTTTATTCCCCACAATTGGTGGACATAAATGATTGAAAGGTCTAGTGAAGATTTAGCACAGCTAGACAAGAAAATGCACTATTTTTTAAAAGCTTGCCTAAAAATATGATTGTAGAAAGACAGGAGAATATTGACCATGTACATTTGGTATATTCCTTGATGTCTTCATGTTCATCCATCCTGTGTAGGTTCCACATTCGATATTATCGGGATGTTCTGGGCCTCATGTTTGCAGTAGATGAAATTAACAAATCTCCCGACCTTCTGCCTAATATCACTCTCGGCTTCAGCCTCCTGGATTCCTGTATGTCTGAGCTCCGGGCTGTTGGAGGGGCTCTGTCCCTGCTGTCAGGACTTGGAAACCCCTTTCCTGGATATGATTTTCATACACCATCAGTCATGGTTGGGGTTGTAGGTGACCTTGTATCTGCCTTATCTCTTCCCATTGCTCGAATACTTGGTCCTCTTCACTACCCACAGGTATCTTACATTTATTTATACTATGAATGTGAATTCTGTGCCTTGTATACTATATGCTAAGGAAATCTTCACATTCTCAAAAATGATGTATTTAATGGCAATATTTCAGCCCAATGTCATTGTAAAAAAAAAAAAAAAATCACTGACAGCTTCTTATCCTGTGATGGATTTTTTTGCAGCATGACATGGACAGGGGTTCCTGTTTACAGAGAGAGATAGATGTTCCAGAATAAAGGTGTGTACCAAAGGGTACATGAAGTCATAGGTGAACTGCACCCACCAGGAGTCACTGGACGACACAAAATGCACTGCAGCAAACAGGGGTCAGAGATTAACACAGGATGTTCTGGAGTCTCTAGGGTCACAAGATGCACAGAGTGCTCTTAAGTCACAGGGATGACACTGGATGCATTGGGATCTCTGGAGTTACAGACATCAAGACTTGACACAGAATGTTCAGGGTGCTCTGGAGCTACAGGAGACATGGAGTGACAATGGATGCTCAGAGTACTTTGAAGTCAAGGGGGTCACGGGTGACACTGGATGCTCAGTGCGCTTTGGAGTAACAGGAGCCAAGGGATTACAGTTGATGTTCAGGGTGCTCTAGAGCCACAGGAGTCATGGGGACACACAAAATGCTCAGGATGCTCTGGAGTTACAGTGACCATGGGGTAACACAGGATGTTCAGGTTGCTCTAAACTCACAGGAGTCATGGGTAGACACAAAGTTCTCCAGATGTTCTGGAGTTACAGAGGTCATGACTTAACACTGGATGCCCAATGTGGTTTAAAGTTACAAAGGTGACACAGAATTCTCAAGATGCCCTGGAGTAACAGGGGTCACAGGATGACACTGAATGGGTGTTCTGGAAGTATAGGGGTCACGGGGTGACATAGAATGCTCAATATACTCTGCAGTCATAGGGGTCACAGGGGGGCACAGGATGCATAGGTTCCTCTGGAGTCAAAGGTTATTGGGTGACACTGGAGTTTCAGAGTGCTCTGGAGTTACAGGGGTCAAGGGCTAACACTGGTGCTCAGGGTGCACTGGAGTTACAGAGTCACTGAGTGACACAGAATATTCAGAATGCTCTGGAGTTACAGAGAGTCACAAGGTGACACTGGATGCTCAGGGTGCTTTGAAGTCACAGAGGACACAGAGTGACACTAGATGCTGTGTGTGGAAACACACAGAGGACATTTGGGTCACAGGACTGCACAGTGGTCGCTGGAGACATGGGATGTACCTCAGCTGAGGGCTCAGATTAGGTGCAGTGATGGCTATAACACTTTGCCATTTAAAGCCAATGCCTGGAGAACTGTCTTCTGATTGGCCATAGCACTTTGGGTAAAAACTGGAATATCGAATAAGTGAAATATGGAAATAACATCAGACATTTTTTTCAAAATTATAACAAATCCCTACAAATTTGGCAATTGTAAAAAATTTTTGTTACCTATCATACTGGTAGGTTCTGTGTTTAACACCCATAGATGCTTATTTATATATATTTCCCTGTCCAGATCAGTCATGGGGCAACCCTGTCAGCTCTGAGCGATAAAATTAACTTCCCATCATTCCTACGGACGGTGCCCAGCAACATGTTTCAGAATGTTGCTCTCTCTCAGCTTGTTGGCCAGTTTGGTTGGACCTGGGTTGGCATGCTGGTGGTGGACAATGATGTTGGGCAACAGGGTGCCCAGGTTATACGAGCTGGGATAGAGAGAAATGGAGGCTGTATTGCTTTTCTGGAGAAAATCCATCTGAGTTATTCAGTCCAGCAGATCAAGAAAGTGGTGGATACCATTAAAGGAAGTTCCATCAGTGTCATCATTCTCCACAGCCCAGAGGTCCATATGAAGGCCCTGCTAGATGTTATGTTTGATGAAGGAGTGACTGGGGTTATTTTCATCTCTTCAGCTTCCTTTGGACTCACACCGGGGCTCTTCTCAAAGAAAGCCTGGAAGGTTCTAAATGGGACTCTTGGACTTATCCCTCGCACAGGCACTATGCCAGGTTTTGAGGAGTTCCTCCTGAACCTTAACCCAGCTGCTAATTCAACCTACCCATTTATTAGGTCATTCTGGGAGAAAGCATTCAGCTGCAACTGGCCTGATGGAGTTTCAAACTCTATTGTGAAAAAAGATGTGGCCTGCACAGGAAAGGAAGAGTTTGGAAGTCGGTTTGCAAAGTTATTTGAAACAAATGATCTTGCCTACACTTATCATGCCTACCTGGCTGTGTACGCTTATGTACATGCCCTGAATTCACTTCTCAGCTGTCGTGTTGGATCAATCGGATATTTCAGTAATGGAATGTGCTCAAATATCACCGATGCTCAACCCTGGAAGGTGAGTGGCAAATTTTATATTATAGACTTTTACTCAGCTCCAAAAGGGATTAACAGCTCAGCTCCATAACAAATAGGAAAGAAAACAATGGTTTTGCCAAATCTGATTCTGTCGTAGCCAAAATGTCCCCAAAATTAATCCAAAATGTTTCCATTTTTTATGTTTTTGTGAAATATAATTCAAAAAAAAAACTCAGAGAGTAAACAAAACCATGTGATCACCATTCCAGCACGGTAATCACATGGCTTTGTTTTCTTTCTGTTGGCCAAAGTCGTGATATTGTTGATAAACAAAGGGTTAGGGTTAGTTTAGGGTTAAAGTTTCTTGGTACCTCAATATCTTCAATATCTATTATCAAGTTCCCAGCTAATGAGCACTTTTTTGGCACAAGAATACGTCCAGAATACTTGAGAGGAGCTTCACTAGTTCCAGTGAGATATTGAAAGCTCATTGCACTCTGAAAAAGTACCTGAAAATGGAAATAAACTATATCAGAGCACCACAACTTGAAAACTCTATTTATTTAGCAAACTCCCCCATCCATCCATGTCTCCATGCTTTGTTTTGTTGAGAAATCACTGTGAAAAACACCCTCCTGGAATTTGTAGCTGCAGCCATCTTGACTAAGGGCAGATGTAGGGTTGCTACCTCATCCCTTTAAATCTTGGAAAGTAAGGATAATGAAGCTAAACAAAGGAAAATAAGAAAATATCAGAGATATACAGTATCAATG